GCTCACCTAATGAAACAGGGCATTGTTTTGGGTTATGGTGACAAGGGCGGGCTTGATCTCAAAATTGTTGGCGGCCACGGGCGGATATGGAATGGCGGGTTGAATATCCGCCGCCCTTGGGGCCATATAGTAGCCCATGGTCCTTGGTTGCTCCTCTGCGGCCTTCCTCTTCGGAATAAAACCCTTCCTCAACTACAACTTCCTCTTCTATCCTCCTTCTTGCCTCCGCCAGTTCCCTCTCACGAGCCAAGAGTCGGAGAGTGCGGTTGAGACTCATCCAGTGGTGCCAAAGGTGTCGGATTATTCCGGGTCATACAACTCCCTGCACACACACTCAAGACAACCACATATCGTCTAACACAAGCAAGATTCACAAACACAAAAGCGAAAAGTAAAAGCTAGATTAACACCAAACAATCTTTTCAAAATAATGAACTGTTTGTTCCCCGGCAACGGCGCCAAAAACTTGACTCGTCCCGAATATCACAATAAAACTCCCAATTAAGGCCCAAGTATAAACCTCCATTGGGTACAATAAAGGGCAAGTATGTTTAAATGTCAACCCGGGTCGGTTCATGTACCCCTACTTTGATTGTTTGTAACATTATCTAGCGAATAGTTTTTGTTGAAAACAACGATCTATAACTAAAAAATTTCGAAAAATAAATGAATTTGACACTAATTGAGAAGGCTTCACCCGAGTGTTGCTCCCCCTAGCTAGCAATTATGACTTGACGGATCGAATAGACGTGTGTGGCAAGGTGGTTGTAAACCGTAGGGAAGTGCAACAATTAGCCAAACGCCACTCTCTCGGTCTCTAGGTCAAGGAAATTTGATTCAAGCCACCAAAGTAGCTCTCTTGACGTATTGACTAAGGGTTGTCAAGACTTCACCCTCACATTGGAGTTCGGACGGCCAAATTACAACCAACCTTAGGTGCTAATACGAACAAAGAGGGTTGCCCTACATTAACCTAGATAGTAGATAGGAGACAAGATTTGTCTAAGAAAACCCAGCTTTAAGCCTCTTTCAAAGAAAGGGGGTTTTCTCTCTACCTAGGTTAGAATGGCAAATAGATTGATAGGCAAACACACAACACAATCTTTTCATGAAAATACCTCCAAATTCACATTAAAACACATCGACACACAAATCATTCGATCCATACAAACATTCACATAATTGTAGCTAGGGTTTACAAACACCCAAGTGAAATGAGGGACTACTCCATGCTAGGAGAAGGTAAAACACAAGAGAAAAGAAGGAAAACAATCATGGAGATGCTAGCATGTTGAAGAGATCCTCCTTTGGGGAAGGAATTTCCAATCCTTGCTTGAATATGAAACCCTAGTTTTTTCTCTTTGGTTCGTCACTTTCTCACTTTAGAAATCTGAAGAAAAAGTTTCTCACACTAGGTCTCTCCCTTTTCTCCTTCAGCTCAAGCCTCCTTTTATACCCAGATCAGGCTTAGATCACGATCCCAGTTCACGGTCGTGAATTGAAAGCACGGACTGTGATCTCAAGTCAAAACGCGTCGCATCACTTAGTCGAGTTCACGGGCAATGGCCTGAGTTCACTATCTTACGACCGTGAACTGACTTGAGTTCAGTGAGACTGAAAAATGCTTTGGACGCCTGGCGATTCATGACTAGCGGCTCCAGTTCACGGTCTTAGTGACCGTGAACTCACAGCTTCCACCGTTATCTGCTGCTGCTTCCACCCTTTGACCTGATTTTTTGCCCTTCCGCCCAACTTTCGACTCTAGGGTTGGTTCCACCTGCTATAGACAGAAATGCACAAAATCTAGACAAAAACTCAGCGTAAAACCAAACCTCCCAGTGTAAAAATGCCTCAAACGACTAAGGAAACTAGGGGTAAAAAGTGTACAATTGAGCGCGAATCAAGTTGCAACTAAACCACATAAAGTCGACTTCCCGTTACATCGTCATACTTTTCATCCTTAAACTTAACTGTGGATATCAAATTGAAGTTTTTCACCTTAATTTGCATCATACTATTTTTCTTTCTCTTTCTTCCTCTCCACAAAATAAATAGTTTTTTTATAAAAATGGAGGATTAAATAAACTCGATCATAATAGCTCTTTGAAATTCTTCTCTTGCTCTATTGGTGCCGATCTTCTTGTAAAATTATTTATAGAGTTGGAGATGGGGGCTTTGGCTGCGAACTTCGGTCGAAAAACTGAGTTTTGCCTCGAAAGTCTTTCTTCAACAGAACACTAGTAAATAAAAATTCACCTAGAATTCCCTCGTTACTTCTCTTTTTGTCGCTCGATTTTACTGCTTAAGACATGTTTCTTAATTCTTTTTCACTCATCATGTTTAAAGCATCTCTGTGTATTTAATCTCAATATGCTTCTTTAATTTTTATCTGAAATAAATTTAAACAATCAATGCGAGGGGCACCCAAAAAACTTTCCTCCGAAAGAAAAGCCTATACTAAGATGCCAATAATGCAAAACATATTAATTATTATAAACAAAAAAAAGAATAAAATTGTATTTCATATTCCAAATAAATTTCTAAAATTTACTTTTTTGGAAGGAAGTCTAAGTTTAATTCAATTAGAACAAAAAAAAATTGTAAACTTATGCGAAAAAATTCAATTTGATATCTGCTGTAACACCTTAGGCGAATCCCACGTCGACAAAGCACGGGAGAAATCCATGGTTCATAAGTAGGAAACCGACCTTAACTGACAAGACGCGTTTTTGGGTGTAATGGAGGAGTTCTTGTGACTTGTGAGAACTCCGAAGTTAAACGTGCTCGGTGCGGAGCACAACAAGGATGGGTGACCTTACGGGAAGTCACCCTGAATTGCACCCCAAGTCGAAAACCATGCGGGTGTAGAGGCCCAAAGCGGACAGTATCTTGTCGGGAAAAGGTTCGGGATGTTACATCTGCCGTTAAGTTTAAGTATGAAAAATATAACGATGCAACCGGAAATCAACTTATGTAGTTTAGTTGCAACTAAAAAACCTTAAGTGATTAGTATGCAACGAAATCAATGCTACAATTAACTCTGGATATTGATTGCAGTAGGTTCTAAAAACAGTACATATCAATATCAATGATTAACAAACAAGCAAACACTATGATGACCATTGAACGGACAGGCATTGTAATTTCTTACCCCGAGAAAAGAAGAATGAGACGCGCACAGCACTAGGCCACCAATTTGGGATGAGATACCGTGACAACCCCATTAAGTGTTGTGAGATTAACAACCCATTTTATAATCATAGGATCTATTCTCTCTCTTGTCTCTTTTTTTTTCAAATTAATGGTAGAGATTGGATTAAGAGTATTTTTGGACGAAAAAAATTGACCACACTAGATTATTACCTCTATTAATACCTAAAGGCTAAAACCCTACATTCTCTCTTTCCTCTCTCTATCTCACGCCATCTTTCTTCTTCCTATTCTTCTTCTTCTTCCTCCCATCTCTTCCCTCTCTCTCTATCGGCTGCCACCACCGTCGTCGCAGCCCTCTTGCTGACCCGCCGCACCCTCTGCCTCTCATCACTGCCGAAGCCCTACCGTCGTCGCGCCCTCGGACTCCCAGCACCGTCACATCTCTCCCACCGCAGCCATCGCGACCTCCTCCTCCCATCACCGCCGCTCCATCACTCTCTCCCCGTCGCAACCCTCCCGCTGCCCACTGTCTCCTACCACCACCGTCGCCACGAGGTCACCGCCTCATCCCTGCCTCCCCCTTTCCTCATCCCTGATTTTTTTTTTTCCAGATCTGTGATTTTTCATATTTCAGATCTGATTTTTTTGTGCTAGTCTCTAGTGGTACGCTACCAGTGGCAATGGTACCGCTACCAGTGGCAATGGTACCGCTACCAGTGGTACTGGTACCGCTACCAGTGGTACTGGTACTGGTACTGCTAATGGTACCGCTACAAGTGGTAATGGTACCGTACCACTAGCCCTGGTAGCGTACCACTAGTACGGTAGCGTACCACTACTGCTGATAGCGCTACTAGTGAGTAGTGGTATCGTACCAATACCAGTGGTAGCGTACCACTAGTCGAAAATCACTACCACTAGCGCACTGACGAAGTGATACTTTTTTGCAGGTGGCCGGAATGAGTCTGATCGAAAGATCTCACCGGGAAAAAGTCTGTCGGTCGGAGAAAGTTTTGCGTCTGAGCGGAGAGGCTGCCAGAAGAAGAAAAAAAAAGAGAGAGATAGAGAAAGATACAACTATATTAATTGTAGGGTTTAATTTTTTTAAAAAAAGGCATGTATTTAATATGTTTTTTAATTCTCAATGTGTAATTAATACAAATAATTAATTAATAAATTCGTTTTTTTTTTCATGCCCAAAATACCTTTGGTTGTCATTCTGACAACCCTTTAGGGGTTGTCACCGTATCCCGTCCCCGTCAATTTCTACCCAAAAAAAAAAAGAACTAGGCCACCAGAAACAACTTACATCGACAGAATAGGAAGTGATGATGTGAAGCGAAGCATTTGCATAGCCATCACGAGCAATGAATGAACCAACCAACCACAACCGTGAAGCAAGCAATTTAATGGAACAAAAACAACAATAAATTGCAATTGCTGATTCGAAGGTATAGATACCAAACAAACTAACAAAACAAATAACAGAAGTAGGCATTCACCCACCCACAGGCCACAACATAACAAAACAGGAGAAGTCGTCCATCCTCTACTGATATCAACCTGAACTGGAATTGACATCACATGGTATATCTTCTCAGCGGATTTCCTCTCCGACGCAGAGCGGTGCGTTCTAAAATAGCACATGATTTATTACAAGAGGATTTCGGCACCTCGAAAACGTAACTAACTGTAGTCCATCCACAAAGCTGTGATCAACTGCTTGAGCAAGAACATGCGTTTTCAGACCAGCACAGAGGCACAACTGATTAGTTGCACTTATTTGCATTGGTTTCAAAGCATACAAACCATCCTAGAAGCCTAGAACCGATCGAAAAACAAAATCAGTAACGCCACAATCAAACCATACAAAAGAACCGCAGAACATCAGAGAGCCTTCTGTACATGAATGGAGAAGCCAGCTACACAAATTTCAATCTCGGTCCCAGGAACTTGTGATAAAAAGGCTTTGAAATGGGATAGAAGCCTTGATTAACAACAGTTTTAAGTACTGAGCCAATCTACATACTCTCTTCTCTCCCTCCCTCTCTACATCTTTCATTTCCTTGTATATTACAATTACAACTGAACAACCAAACCCGTCTTTTGCTTCTAAATCCAACACTCTCCCTGCTATCTGAAACCTGAATTTACCCTATACAACATACTTCGCCAGATGGGCAGCCCTGCCTTCTAGTGCCACCAAAAACACAAGTTAATAAACAAACCACCAAAACTATAATATTCAACTGCTTCCCCACTAGGTTCCTGCTATTTTGAACAAACATAGACAAAGAATTGGATGCTGAGGTTAGTCAAAAATCACCCTTTGTACACACTGGTTTTCCTTGTCCCAGTCGGTGGTCAGTAGGGAACTTCCTCCATGCCTTTACACTTACTTCTACACACCCGTCCGTCCGTCCTTCCATCCATTCATCCGCTCTGGTGCTCACCAAAAAGCTTGTGCCGAACGAACGATGAAACCGACAAGCAAAACATAAGCTTCACTTGTACACCCTTGTTAAGGAGGCTTGACTGGACCATCCCACCTACAAAATTGCCTGACGCCTTTCAGTGGCCCAACTTGCACCCAGTCCATCCCACAAACCGCAGACCACCTCTGCTGCTCCACTCTTGTTGTAACCAGCTCATCGAGCAGAGGTTTCCTTGTTCCTTTCCCCCCAAAAGATCGTCGATCATTTTCACTCGACCAAATGCTTCCCCTCTGGGTCAACCCTCCTTGTGGTGCCTCGTTTTTGTTCACGTCGTGTTTGTTATGCAATTTTATCTCTTCACGTGGTGCTGTTGGGGGGGAGGGGGGTGGATAGGACAGTTTCATGGTAAGAGTGGTCAGTCGACTCCCGACCACAGCCACTATGTGTCACTACTTTTCTTTGGAGTCTTTGCCTTTTCCATTTCCGCATCCTTACTGGCTTTCTTTTTAGCTGCTTCAGCCTCCTTCAAGTTCTCTTCATGTGCTTTCCGAAACAACCTCACAAAATTCAAGAGGGTTGCAGTAACTGCATTTTTGCATAGATCATCCAAGACAGTTACATGTCAATCGGATTTTATCCCCAACACAAATATTAACAGTGACTAAAAAGCATTATGACGTCATGAATTTCTGTACTTCTATTTCCTCTTTCCATGAACTTCAAAATTGCTTACCTTGCTCAAACGGATAGCGTGCAGGATCTTCACCAAAGTATAATGCAAGTGCATCTGCATTTCTACCCTGCCAGCACATGACGATTGCAATATAGCATCACTGCAGAGTTTTTTTTTAAAGACACCGGTTGATTAAATATTGGAGGCACACGAAGTTGACAAGCTCACCACTACAGAATATAAATTTGTCACTGAAGCCACCTCTGCCTCGGCACCAGATATGAACTCTTTCAATGCCTACAACAAATATTAATATTTTAGCAAAACCCACAACAAATTCAAAAAAACAAGCCAAGTATGCATGAAAGATAAAACTCGCCGCCACCTTTCCAGGAACAGTTGAACAACAAAGTATTTTCAAACAAGTTTCCCAAGAGCAGCGTAATATCTGATGGATATTTTTTATATTTAATTACATACCAAGCGAAACAGAAATCCTATATCATGCACAGAATATACACTTAACATTGCAAACTGTATCAGAAAATTCAATCCAGATAGACATAACACAGACACAAAAGCATTGAGTATTGCACCTTTCTGAAGACCTCGGACACGGGGCCGTCATTTGCTGATGCTGTATTCTCCTGCTTTACCTTTTCCAATCCCTTGATGATAGCTTGCATTTCCTCTGCTAATGACTTCAATTGTATCTGCATGCAGCAACTTCCAGTTCAGAAGAAATTCTGACTATGATACTTAACAGTTTGCAACGAACAATAGGTCGGCACCTTTGAGGCAGTTTCAAGGCTAACCAGATCTAGGTGAAAATCTAAAAGTGGCGGCGACTTTGCAGCAAATACCTGAGAAGAAGATTAAATAAACAAGAGTATAAGAAACAAGTAGTTCCTATCCCGCCCCACTAATCTAGATCACTACTAAATACAGTATCAATGTTTTCTGAACATAGAAAGCGTTGAAATTTCAGAATTAGCAGTCTTGTCATCATGGATCACTCCTACAGAATACTCTTTTTTAAAAGAACGCAAATGCAAGAGAATTCAGAAGAGAAGACTTGACAGGAATGGCAAGAAAGGATCAGCTGGACATCAAGTGTGAAACAGAAAAGTAAGTCATAAAAGAAATTCTCAACTGTGAATAGTTATGGCTCTATCGCAAATAGGGGGAAACCCTAATTAGTAATGGCAACTAAGGAATCGGCACCTCAACAGTGAAACAAACAAAAAAAATCTAGGTCCTTCAGACAATTCTCACGAAGCCAATTGCAACTTTAAGATAGCAAAGCATCCTCGTCATCCTGTTACACGTCTATGAAACAAATGAGTCATTTCTAAGTTTCCTTCAAAACGTGAAGAAGCTAAATAGAGATGGTGCTCCAGAGAGCAACACACCATCCTACAATGAGAAAAAAAGCTGCATCGACATGGTTCGCTAGTACTCAACCAAAGACACTTTGCCAATACAGAGACAACTTTGAGACCACAGACCAGAGACCACTTTGGCTAGTAAATACCATCCTATAATCATATGATGAACCATCAACAACTGGCCCAATATTAAGCTGATATTTCAGCTCTCTTGCTTTCACTCTAATCCTCACAGTTGTACCAAAGGTTTCCGAAGATAGATTTCTTTTCATATTGGCAAAAGTCAAATAAAACAAATGAAAAATGTGAACTCAAACATCAAAGATAATTTAAGCTTAGAATTGACTGCGATAATCAAACCAATCATAAATGGATGACATATATTCATGTCATATGCACGCGCAAGTTGGAATGCAGAACTTGAAAGCCTACTGTTTTAGGTGTAGTCATTTGGACTCTTAGAATTTGAAAAGCTTTAACCTTTGATCTCATACTTAGTAAGCATTTCTTTGATGCCCAGCATGCCACGTGCTAAAGAATTCTTGTATTGCCCGTTACTTCGACTCTCAAATCCATCACTTCTCCTTTCTTGTTTAACCATGCATCAGTTATGTGAGGCTTAACCCCTCTCCTTTCATGTTCTACAATGCATCAGTTATTTGAGGCTTTACGCAGCCGGGATTGACAGGCAAAAGACAGGGTTCATAATAGACAACATGTGACAAAGACATACTTATCACGAATGGATCGAACCCGCAGAAATGAATTCGACAAAATTTTTTTTTAGAGCGACATGGAAAGGATAATGACATAATACAAAAATGGCATAATTTTCAAAACCATATTGTAAGAACTTGTTCGTTGTAACATGGTACAGGGACTACAAATGCCACTCATGTGGTATATGAATTATGACTCGACTTTAAACTATTTAACAAGAACAGAAGATAGCAAAAATAAATAACTATAGCAAAAATAAATAACTAAAGTAACACCCATACCTTGCATAGGTAATGCATAAGTGTCATTTTGCTGTTCGCAGCTCGGGTATCAGTAAGTTTCAGAAGACTGTCCAACTTGAATCCAACTGCAGCACCTAAAAAAGTAGAAATTACCCAAACATCACATCATGTGCACGAAGCAGTTTTCTAAAGGTTTCAATATGGCACCACAAACCAAAGCCACCAACACAATTCAAGGTTCAAGTAAGAAATATCATCAGAGCAACTCTTATAGCAAATTTAATTATATACACAACGAGTCAACCACAAACAGGACCTCTTGATTCCCCATGCTAAAGACACGAATCAAAACAGGACCAAGAAAACAAAAACGCTCAATATAATTTGAGACACTGGCCATTTCTATAAAATGTCACAATGCAACAGATTAATCATTAATTACAAAGCATTAACATATCTTTTTAGTAATTTTCTTGTCCCCTTACAGGACCACGACACATTAAGTATGGCTCAATAGCTCCACGGAAAATTTAAAAGCAATGAGCTACATAAACCTGGCATTTAGAAGCCCTGCTTCCCTTCACTACACAAGATATCAAGATAAGCCTAGGTGAAATTGATTGTGAACCTTGGCCAAAGCAAAAGAATCACAATACTAATTATGAAATCAAGGAACATCAGGAAGTCACAACAGTTACTTACCCCGTGCAGTTCCTTGGTTCAAGGTGTTCCCCAAATAGAGAATCTTCTTCATGATTTCCTTCAGTTTCAGGGAGTTTTTTACCTAATGAAAAATAATAATAAGGCACCCTAAGTGAAAAACAATACATAAAGCTGCAGGAAATGCTTCACCATCAAATTGCATTGTACCTCATGACACGCAGAGTTCACCGTGTTTAAGCTCTTCTTAAATTCTGAAATCTGTGAAAGACACCGAGTATAAGACACGCTGATAGTCCTTGAAAATAAGACCCAAAATAAAGCAGCCTACATCAAAGATTATTTATTAAATTATCAGACTAACAATGCAGTTGCGTCCAGACCTGAGCACTGAACTGGATCTTGAATGAAAATACTCTTAGTTTTGATTCTACACGTGGTACTTTCATTAGCTCCAGGAAGTACTGAAAATTAACAGAAGGACAGTACATGACATTGTATATTCTGTTAGAAGAAGTCTAAGGGAATAACATGAAGAAACTGACAATAAAAGAGAAGTGAATAACTTCCAAGACAACCCGGTATAGGCGTCAAAGAAATTAAATAAAATAAAAATAGCCATCAAGATTTACTGGAGGAACTAAGATGTAAACAGACAATATCCATGCTGCTCAAGGCAAGACAGCAACTGATTCTTTAAATTTACTGTTGTTCATAGCATAAAGAAGGAGTTGTTTCAACACTTCAATGACTGGCTTAAGGCCTAACCTGAGTTCAAAACACTTCACCATACATCATGTCTATAGTTTGCTACTGCTATATCAAAACTTTCCTGTCGTTAATAAGTTTATTAACCTTCGTAAACATTAGGCATGTGTTCCTTCTTACGCATCCAATTAGGACATATGCTGCTGTGAGTTCAACCATAGCTCACTCATAGCTCCAGAGGCAGAACTCAATTCATTACTTCAGGCACCTCACTTGACCTCCAAAAACTAGCTTTACACTCCAAGGTACCAATTCAAAAGCCACAACTAAGACCTGTCTGTACTTCTCACTCATAGCTCCAGAGGCAGAACTCAATTCATTACTTCAGGCACCTTACTTGACCTCCAAAAACTAGCTTTACACTCCAAGGTACCAATTCAAAAGCCACACCTAAGACCTCTCTGTACTTCTCAACGAAGTTCTAAACTCATTACAATAGGTATTACCGGTGACAGGAAACTTTATTACCACGAGAGATGCAGGTCAATTACATTAGTTTTGAACAATTTGTATCAACGTGCCAGCTTACTTTGCCCACATATTTGCAGGAAGTCTCAATTCACTAGACAGCACAATTAGCCCCCAATTGTTTTTGAAAGGAAAAGGTCTATCGTCGTGTAAGATAACAGTGTCATCAGTCATTCAGATAGCCAGGTCACAGGTTAAAAAGTTCAACCGATGCAGCAAGGAGCTCATAAAATACAAGTACAAGCAAGAACAAATAGTGCCTTGTTGTTGAATCTCATATAATAAGTGCCACAATAGCATTTAGAGATGAATTTTATACCTGTTCACACTTTCCCAAGTTGTCCTTGTCACCAGTGTAGTTCTGTAATTATAAAATGAATAAAATGACAGAAAGGGATGAATGTTAGGGATCAATGATATAAAAATGGACTATATAAGTACTAACCGAAGGTTATAAAGAATGTACTCAGCTGCACCTTGAGTTGCTCCATCTCTTCTTTGGTTGGGCAGAACTTTATAAGATTGTCCACTTGATCAACATCTAGAACTGACTCATCCATGGCAAGTACTGCAGTCTAAAAGATATAAGGGTAGAAGGTCAGGTCACTAACTACAAATAACAGAGGACCTTAAACCAGAGGTGTCACTACTTAACGCAGAAAACTAAAGAACAAATCACTAGAGCCATCACTATAGCATTGTGAAATATAATTTTCCCCATCATGTCAACTAAATTCAAGAGCAAGTCCTAATTAAAATGCACATGATTATAAGGGAACCAAGAAGACATCATATAGAATTCTCATGAAGGCTGAACAAGTCAATCAGTGGATTCCTCATTAAAGAATATTACAAACTGAAAGTAACCAGGCACCCATCGTAGTCATGCATTAATCCAATTTATCGAACTAGAGTATCTCAACCTCAAGTTATAGCAAGGAGGATTTTACATATGCGTACTAACCAACACTTTCTAACCACAGACATCCAACTCATATAAAACCTTCATATTTTCCTGGTCAACGAAAAAATTGAAAACAAAGAAAGAATATTTAGATGTGAACAAACCATCATGTCAGAGAGAGGCATTTTAACTTTTGTAAGCATAATTTCAGTATTGTTTGCCCTCCTCAAATCAATCTGCAGCATAAAGATAAGATACCAATGTTAAAGTGTAGGATTGCCACATTCTGTAACTCGGAGCAAATAATGATCTAAGATTTAACCACCAATAGAGAGCAAGGCATCAAGAAAGCAGGCCTACGAGATAAGACATGTAATGAGGATAATGATAAATTTATGCCATAAGGTACATGATCGTGCTATACTATCACATTTTGTCTACATTATCACATGAATTTAGCTGTAACAGGTACCATGTCCAGTAAAACTAATAAGCAACTGGAGCTCTTTGCAGCAACTTGTAAATATAGAGAGAAAGTAACGCATTTTCAAATTTATCTCAACACCTAACTGTGACTGCTCCCCTACACGTGCATACGTTATCATAATATACAGTAAAAAGTCCATAGGTTTCTTACAACTTCAAGAAGTGCACCCAAAGAACTTAGACTACTAGGGAGAAGATCAAGAAAATCATACAAGCCAGGGGAGTAGAAAACTAAACGTAACGAACTAGAAAATCATTGGGGTATTTTAAAATGGAATTCTATTACCAGGTGAACTTTGTCAGGTTTTGATCCAGCGGACTTCTTTTTTCCACCTTTACTGGAGTCAGCAGGTTTTGGAACTATTGCAGAAAAAAGGGTCTCTATCTCTGACACATCAAATTCTGGTGCACTGTTACATCATGATACAAGGTCATCAATCCCAGAGAGCGATATATGACAGCATGCTATATATTCCAAAAGGCAAGCCAATTTAAAGCTCAGAGATTACTGTACGTTTGGGACTCCCCGTGCCTTTGTAGTTCTTCCCACAAACTTCCTTGTATTGCCCTTGTTACCTTGCTCCAATGCAATGGCTTCAGTGAAGATCTTCGAGTTGCCATAGCAGCACCCACTCCACGCCCTCGTCCTCTACCTCTTGCATCAGCAGCAGCTCCTTTGGCACCTAAGGGTGGTGGTGGGGGCGGCCCAACTCCCGGAGGACCAGGAACACTTCCTCCAGGAGGAGGGGGTGGAGGAGGCCCTCGGCCCCCTAGAAGAGGAGGAGGAGGAGGAGGAGGTCCACGCCCACCACCTGGAGGGGGTGGTGGAGGTGGTGCCCCCCGCATTAGAGGAGGGGGTGGGGTTGGTGCTCCAATCATTGGAGGAGGTGGAGGTGGTGTTGGGGCTCCAGGCAAAGGTGGTGGTGGAGGTGCTGCTCGTGCTCCACTGAAAGGTGGTGGTGCAGGTGGCGCTGGTACTCCATGAAAAGTAGGTGGTGGTGGAGGTGGAGGTGGTGCTGGGGCTCCAGGCAAAGGTGGTGGTGGAGGTGCTGCTCGTGCTCCACTGAAAGGTGGTGGTGCAGGTGGTGCTGGTACTCCATGAAAAGGAGGTGGTGGTGGAGGTGGAGGAGCCCCACTGACTGATGGAGGAGGAGGAGGCGGTGGTAGAAAAGCCCCCCTAACTGATGGAGGAGGTGGTGGTAGAGGAGCCCCACATACTGATGGTGGTGGGGGAGGAGGTGGAGGTGGTGTAGGAGCTCCCAATTTAGTAGGTGTCAGTGGCGGCGGCGGCGGCGGAGGTCCACTTCTTGAAAATGATGGTGATGCAAGTGGAGAACCTTGACTTTTCATGGCCATAGGAGGCGGTGGTGGTGGTGGTGGCGGTGGCGATGATGGGATGCAATGAACATCCTGCAAATGAATAAAGGGAGGTGGTGGTGGAGGAGGTGGTGGACTGCAATGAGCAACATTCTGCAACTGACTAAAGGGAGGTGGCAATGGGGGCGGCGGTGGAGGGGGCGGCAATGTTGAAGACAAAAAACATTGAGAAGCGACTTGGGAAGGAGGAGGTGGTGGAGGTGGTGGAGGTGGTGACGGTGGTGGTGCAGAAGTAAACCCCCAGGAGAGACCAGGAGGTGGTGGAGGCGGAGGCGGAGGCAGTTGCAGTGCTGTAGGAGCAGTTTCTGATGGCACGTGTGGAGGTGGTGGTGGTGTTGTGGAAGGCGTACCATGTGCCAATGGAAGAGAAGGTGAACCAAGGATTCCAAAATCTGGTTCTGAAGTAGTTAATGAGGTACCATAGCTATAATGGAATTGGGGAGGTGGTGGTGGAGGAGGCGGAGGAGGAGCTCTAGTAGTAAGGCAAATTGAAGTATTTACAGTCACGGATTTCCAAGGAAATGGAGGGGGTGGAGGGGGCAATGTTATCCTAATGTTATGTCCATTGCTGGCAATGGAAGGGGGATGAGGAGGAGTGCACTGTAAGGTTGCATTTTGTGATACCATCTCAACTTTCAGCTTGCTTGATTGCATGTAAGGCGGTGGAGGAGGAGGAGGTGGAGGTGGTGGTGGGATGGAGGACAGGGATGAGGGTAGCTTCAAAACTGCTTTGGCAACTGAAGATGATGGTACTGTGGATCGAGGGATGGGTGGTGCAGGAGGTACATGGATGGATGTTGTCTGCTCTTGATTATCAGTGGACGGAGAGAACAACTTACTCGAATCTGAATCCAAGTGAGCAGAAGCAGTAGAAGATGACTTTTTGTTGGCACCATCACTGGACTCTTCACGAACCCAAGGTAGAGAAAAATCAGGCGGTGCACTATTATACCTTGATGGTGGATGGGTAACATTCACCGGACTGCTTACGAGACCTTTGCTAGGTACAAGCCACAGAGGCGATAGTTCGGGCTTCATTTGTCTTAAGTTGTCACCCAGATTTTCAAACTGTTTCTTCTGCTTGGTACGCATTGTCTCTGGAGATTTGCTAGCAAGAGAAAGCCATGGAGAAAGTGGACCTGACTTCACATGTATTTCTCTATCAAGTTCATTCTGATTCTCTTGTAAGACACTTGTTTCTACCTTCATATTTGGACTGCTTGCTATATCACCACCTTTATCCTCAGTCACTTTGAAATCTCCATCTGCTTCATAAGTGATTACCTTTGTATTGTCATTTACAGGGATATCAGATATGGCATTTGCAGGACCAAACTTTATATTCCCATTATCGACAGTAATGTCTTTCACTGCTTCAAGATCAGAAACCTCCTTGTCATCCAACCGGTATTTCACATCATCTACAGCAATATCCTTCACAGGATCAACATTAGAACTAAGCTCCCCACCACGCTTGTGGTTCACATCATCACCCCTACAATCTTGGAAAGACGGCACTTCCACATCCTCTTTCACAACTTCTGTATGCTCTAAATGAGATGCCTTCTGGGTTATATGAGTATCAAAGTTCCCTTTTGATTCTGGCGCCTCCACTGTGAAGATCTCTTCCACCTCATAAAATTCTTCAGGTGAAGCACTTTCTAAATCATTCAAATCCTCACCAGTCAAAACTGTGGTGAGAGATGGGAGAACAGTGTCTGCATCCGCAAAAAGTACCTGATCCAAATACGAGTTCGTATTCAAACTCCCATAGCCACTAAAAATACATGACCCAGAGAAAGATAGCAGTAACATACCTCTGCTTTGAAGTCCCGTGAAAATTGATCCTTGGCATCCCACAAAATATCAATGTCATCACGGTTCAAAATCAAAATATTTGCTCGCACAAATGCTGTATGGAACATCAGTCTGAAGATCATCTGCTCATGCAAGAGGTCTTCGTCCAAGTGGATACACTCAATGACAACATCACCTTGTACACGGCATCTAAGATCTATTTTCACAAGCATACTCTCTTCCTGCCGTTGAAATTCATTATATAATCAACTCTTTGACGTTTACATATTCATCTTTCAAAATTTAATTAGATGACTGGGCATAATACCTGTGCATACTGGCGTATGTGTCTTTTAGTCTTCGAAGTTGAATACAAAAGCTTAGACGTTCTATTGGCTGGTTTTGAAGGATCCTGGCCATAAACACGCACAACCGGCCTGCAACTTGTTCCTCCTTCAAAGAGTGGAAGGGTTCTAAGCATCAAACAGTCGAGAATTAAGGGTGTGTCAGAAGGAGGCCAATCAACCCCAAAATTCCTTCTAGAAATATACTGAAGATATCTGAGCTGGGAAGGGTATGGATTTAAAGCAGATAAAACATGTAGAAGTTCCTTAGGAGCTTGCTTGTAGACCGCTTCAAGAGTCTTGTGCTCCCCACTATACTGCCCCCGATATAGCAAAAGACCGGCAAGCATGAAAGCAAGCACAGGCCATCCTCCTCTTTCGCAATGCATTAACAACACATTTTGTTGCCCCTCCAATGACAACCAGCTTTCACTAGATCGAAGGAAATGATGAACCATCTCCAGAGGCAATAATGGACACCCTTCATATTGACGAGGGTAATCCATAACTGTCATATCATACTGTGTTAAGATGTCTGAAAGTTGGCTCCGTCTATCTCCCTCTCGAAAATTAAACACCATAAATGAGGCATCGGGAAAGTGGTCCTGCAGCTGTGCTACAATGCCACCTAAGTAGAGCTTGTACTCATCCTCTTCCATGACATTGGTGGAGAAGCAACAGTCGAAAACTGCAAAAAAGGGAGGAAATGGCGGGAGAGAAGGAGTAAAGGCTGGGAATTAAAGAAAGCTCTCTCAAATAAGTCAACCAATCTAATAGCAGGACATTGAATATCCAGCAGCATTCAAATGCCGATTCTCGCTTAATTCTACAACCCACAAATTAAGAAAGTGAACTCAGTTCTGTTCTTCATCGAGGTATAATAAGGTTCATGTATGGCTCTCAGAACCCCGAAGATACTGAATTCCCCAACATTTACCCCATTGGGTGCTACAAGGATAAGAATAGAAGCAAGAAGATGGTCCGAAATTCAGATCACATTGTCTCAGAACAGCAACGGAACTTCAAATTTGAGCTACAGAATTCCATGAACCCTAATCATAAAACCTATCAAGCAGAAACCCTTTTCCCATCAACGGCAAAATAAAGGGAAGAATAATTTGCAGGAACAAAGAATCAGCAAAATCAACGACAACAATCTATCACATTCCAGGGTGCAAGCAAAGAGAACGCGGTAATACGAAAGAAGACAAGTTCTGGCGGGTATAGTTGGGGGCAAAAGGAAAAGCAGGGGAAGGAGGTACCGTAAACCCTGTCGGAGATCTCCAGAAGCCGATCCGGTGGCTTCCGGTAGAAGAAGCGTCTGAACAGCGCCATTAGATGGCGCTGTTTCTACGGTGGCTGGATCCAAACCGGTCGATTTCTATAATCACCCCGTCTTTCTTTTCCGGCGACAAAATTATAAACCCAAAAGAGGGATGAACGCAGATCCCCTCAAGTTTCCTCGTTGAGCTAAAATCGAAAAGGCTTGCAAAAATTCAGGCCGCCGCAGGCAAACGGCACTGGCGAATGCCGTAGGTAGGCAATTGGAGCGATGGTGAAGAATTGAATCGGGAAAGAATCTGTTGAAGTGAAAGTGACGGAGTGAAAGGATCAAAGGGAAATGAGGGAGAAGAGAAGTGTTTCGCGAAAGAGGGAAATTATTGGAAATGAGATTATAATTAAGGGAAGAAATGGAGAGAAGACGGAGAGAGAAAAAGGGGGAGAGAGAAGCGTAGTGGACTGATCTGAAAGAAAAGAGAGAGTAAACGGAGACAGGAACTCCCCTTCAGAAGAGAAGAGAAGAAAATGAAAAGGGGAAGTTGTCGTTCTTCCGCCGCCGCCTCCTTCCTTCTCCTTCCTCCGCCTTCTCCTCCGCCTCCGTCGTCGTCTTCTTCTTCCTTGTTTTGTTGTAATTTTTTGTGTTTACTTTTTCTCTTTCGTTTCTGTTGGGCGTTGTTTCTTTTCTCTTTCTTTCTTTTTTTCTTTTCAGACAGACAAAGGCCAGACGGAGAAGGAGGAGAGAGGGAGAGAGAAAGAAGGAGGGGAAATTTTTTCTCTCTGTTTTTTTTTTTTTTCTGTTTCAATTCAATAACCAAATGAGAGAAGAAGAAAAAAAAGTCGGTTGAGGCTTGGGCTGGCGGGCTGGGTTGATGGGGACCGAATCCTATCAGTAACCGACCTATCAGTAACGGTCAGTAATCGATGATCCGGCCGTCCATCGCGCCATCTTCCCAGCCGTCAGATCATGCCAGTTAAAATACATGCGGGGGCAAAAACGTAATCACGTCTCTGACAATTTGAATTGCAGACGTGACAGCGACAACCGTCCCGCCTTCTCTCCTTCTTCCTCTCACCTTTCAAGCGACAGTTCCACTTCCCTCTCTGCTCTCTAACTCTCCATTCTTCCTCCCGATTCTCAATTCTCTCACCAAAATCGCAGCAAAAACTTCCAGAAAAAACTTCAAATCGAACGATTTTCGCAAAGGTTTTCAAAGAATCATTCAACGATACACTGTTCTCGCTTCTTCGTCGAAAAACGAAGAGTTTCCAACTTCAACGAGGCTCAAAAATCGTTTTCGCACAAAATATCAAGGTAAAACCTCACTTCTTTCTTCGAAATCCATCCACAGAACAATAGAACAGTATCGCAGTCACTCTCCATGCGTTGCTGAACTGATGTAGAATCTGTTGTGTTTTGCTTCATTACCATAAGGTAATGTGTGGTAAATTAAGATTGCATGTTCTAAAATAACAAAAAACCATAAGTCCTGCTGTGTTTTAGTTTGTTACCATATGGTAATGTCTGGTAAACTATGGTTTCATGTTGTAAAATAGCAAAAAACCATAAGTCCTGCTGTGTTTTGCTTCGTTACCATATGGTAATGTGTGGTAAACTATGGTTTCATGTTGTAAAATAGCAAAAAACCATAAGTCCTGCTGTGTTTTGCTTCGTTGCCATATGGTAATGTGTGGTAAACTATGGTTTCATGTTGTAAAATAGCAAAAAAACATAAGTCCTGCTGTGTTTTGCTTCGTTACCATATGGTAATGTGTGGTAAACTATGGTTTCATGTTATAAAATAGCAAAAAACCATAAGTCCTGCTGTGTTTTAGTTTGTTACCATATGGTAATTTGTGGTAAACTATGGTTTCATATTGTAAAATAGCAAAAAAACCATAAGTCCTGCTGTGTTTTAGTTTATTACCATATGGTAATGTGTGGTAAGCTATGGTTTCATGTTGTAAAATAGCAAAAAACCATAAGTCATGTTGTGTTTTAGTTTGTTACCATATGGTAATGTGTGGTAAGCTATGGTTTCATGCTATAAAAATGGAGGAAAACATACGTCCTGTTGTGTTTTACTTCGTTACCATATGGTAATATGTTATAAGACATGGTTTGATGTAATTATCATATGGTAAAATGAGATAAATATATGGTTTGATTTGGTATGGTAGGAAACCATTATGGTACCATATGGTATATCATGGTAAAAAGCACGCTAACAGACTATTCCTAATTTCTACATTCAGGTACACTATGGTAAAGCAAAGAAAAAATTTTCGCACAAGGTGCAGCCCAACAAGAATATCTACAATTGCAAGGACTATAAAAGATGACCAGAAAGAGAAACTTGAGATATTAGGCCTAGCAGGCTTAATATCAATCAAGCAGACAAAGATAAACAACCATTTTGCACTGTTCGTAATGAACAAATACAATCCAATGAAACAATCTTTCAAGCTACCTGACGGGACACGCATGAAGATATCACCAATCGACTTTCATAGGGTATATGGTCTGCCAATGGGGAATAGGGAAGTTGTACCTCCCACGATTTCTTGGGACGACGCAGCAGATTATGCAGTAGAAACCCTACTGGAAGTAGATGGAAAATCCACTCCAAGGGTAAAGCTAAGTCAGGTAGAAAAAGATCTTTCTACAGTTACCAACAGTAAGAGATGGTTACAATTGTTCTTTCTGCTGGTCACCGGAGGCTTGCTGTGCCCAAGTTCAGCCCCTATGGCTGAACTCAACATGCTTGAGTACTTGAAGACTGATGAACAGAAACATTTCACCAGCTACAACTGGTGCAAATACTTCTTCAACCACATGAATGAAGGATTGAAATCACCAAAGCTCTACGTCAATGCAGATCTTCACTTCCTTACAGTAAGTCTCCATTCCCTTGGCCATTTCAACCTTGTTACTCATATATTTTATATATAAATGATACTCTTTGAAAAAACTAATACAACTATCTGCATAAAAAGGTATGCTTCATGTACAAACTGGACGAAATGGCATTCTCAACCCAGCTTCGAACACCAACAGTAAGCTACTATGATGATAACAATGTTGATAGCAACTTTGAGAACATTAAGAGCTACTACAATGGAAAAGAGTTGAACGAGATCGAAAAGGTTGCCAATATTAGAGACGATGAGGCTGATGATGAGGCTGATGACGCAGCTGATGAGGAAGAGGAGAATGAGCCAGTCTATGAATCACCGAAAAGACAAAGAAACAAAAGTCCAGAGCAGTCATCATCACTGAACTTTGATTTGAAGAATATCACAACAGTCAACCAAGTAAGTACAAATTATCTATATTACAGTTGTCCAATTCCAATTATCTATATTATAGTTGTCCAATACATGCTAAGCGTAAGTCCTGCTGTGTTTTAGTTTGTTACCATATGGTAAAGTGTGGTAAGCTATGGTTTCATGTTATAAAAATGGAGCAAAACATAAGTCCTGTTGTGGTTTACTTCGTTACCATATGGTAATGTGTGGTAAGCAATGGTTTCATGTTATAAAAATGGAGGAAACCATAATTCTTGTTCTGTTTTACTTTGTTACCATATGGTAATGTGTGGTAAGCTATGCTTTCATGTTTTAAAAATAGCAAAAAACAACAAGTCCTGCTGTGTTTTAGTTTGTTACCATATGGTAAGGTGTGGTAATCTACGGTTTCATGTTATAAAAATGGAGGAAACCATAATTCTTGTTCTGTTTTACTTTGTTACCATATGGTAAGGTGTGGTAAGATATAGTTTCATGTTATAAAAATGCAGAATAGTGATAATAATTGCCAATACCATGTATTACCACCATGGTAACTAACCATACTCCCATTATGCAGGCTGAGAATGCAATCAAACTGCTTGAAGCATCAATGAAAGCAATGATGAAAGCAATAAAAGACCAGTACAAAAGCCAAATTGACAATCTGATCAGACACAAGCAGAATCTTGCGAAAGAAAGCTGTGATGAAAATGTTCAGCCCACAGAAGGAGAAAAATCTCAGTGTGAAGATGATAAAGAAGAGAATGATGAAGAAATGCATGCCAGTTTGAATAAAACACTCAATGAAATATTCAAACAGACAAAGATAGACCAGAACGAAGAGGAGAATGAGGAGCAAACACAGAAAGAAGATGATTCACAACCATCTACAGTCGATCTTGCTGCATCTACACCGAAGCCAAAAGAAAAGGAGCAAGATGATTCTGTTTCAGGAGCTGTGAATAGGGAAAGCATCCCAAAACAAGGAGATCCAATGGGGGAAGTTGCAACAGAACCACCAGAACAATCTGTTCAAGAAGGTCTGAATCAGGGAACACCACAACAAGAGGACACCCAGAAAGCAGTTCCAGAACAGACATCTGCAGAAGAAACCGAAGAAAAAGGAGCTACCAAAACAGCAGATCCAATGGAAGTTGATAAGGAAACAACAGAAGAAGGGAATACAGGGCAAGCTGCACAAAAGACTGCAGAAACTGACAGCGAGAAGACGGTGTCAGATGATGTTGTTCATGAAGAGGCTCCAAAACTGACAACCGAAGCTGCTGAGAAGCCTAAAGTGACGAGGGAAGACGACATTCCGTCCTTTGATCTCAGCCCTCTCAACCGTCAAACACCAACAACACCAACAAAGTTGACTACCAACACGGCAACCGATCAACCAGCAGAGCCTCGCAAAAGAAGAATCGTGATAAAGAATGTACACGGAAATGAAAAGAAGGCAAGAGCAACACCACCACCAGAACAGCCACAAAGCACCCAGTCACAGACGGGGTCATATGCTATATGGTCAAATCTGTACACAAACAGCCAAGAGAAGCTCAAGGAAGTCCGTGAATGCATAGATGCTTACCTAGAGGACCTGAATTCTCCAGCTGCCGAACCAGTTGCTCCACAGTCACAAAAATCACCAGTTCAATGGTCAACACCAACACAAACAACACCTGATGATATGTTCAGCAACATCCTGCAGTACATAAGATGCAAAAACAAGAAATTTGCCAAGAGGTAAGTCATCATCTTAAAACTTCTACTGTTATATGATGTTACTGTAGTGATCTAGTTTGTTACCATATGGTAAAATTAGATAAATCTATGGTTTAATGTTACAAAATGTAGTAATGCACAAGTCCTGTTTTGTTTTAGTTTAATACCATATGGTATGATGTGGTAAGCTAAGGTTTGTTGTTAAAGAATGGATTAAACCATAACTCCTGTTCTATTTTATTTATTACCATATGGTAAGATGTGGTAAGCTGGTGTGTTTTACTTATTACCATATGGTAAAATGTGGTAAGCTGGTGTGTTTTACTTATTACCATATGCTAAGATGTGGTAAGCTGGTGTGTTTTACTTATTACCATATGGTAAGATGTGGTAAGCTATGGTTTTGTTGTGGTAACCTATTGTTTGATGTCATAAATTAAAGTAAACCATCCGTCCTGTTGTGATGTGCTTGTATACAGTGATGAGATAATGTTTAAAAGGAAGGATGGAACATTCATGCTGAAAAGGGAGTCAGTACAGTCGATTGACATTGGCTGTGAAATCACATCTGATGTCATCGGCTGGTATGGAGATGTAATGAACATGAATGAAGCAAAAAAAGGAAAATTCACAAGGTGGTTCTTCGATACATCTTTGGCAGTAAGTAAACCCACCTATATTCTGTCAAAAGTTCTTAGACAACACATATATAAAACACATAATAACAACCACAACTTTCAGGGTGACTGCCAACTGGACATTGATAGTGGCAATCCTGTACTATCTC